TTTTTTTTTTTTTTTTTTTTTTTTTTTTTTTTTTCAAACACTTAGAAAGTTGCAATTGTTTGCATATTCTATCTAAGGTAAACTTCCTAGTAAACATAGAATCTATATAGTTTCCTTGCAGAAAAAAAAATTTTTTTTTCTTTACTTTTTTTTTTTGCATCTTCAATTTATTTATTTTCTTTTTGTCAGTTATTATTTGTTCTTTATATTATCGTAAATATTTTCTTATTGTTGCTGCTGTTGTTGCTGTTAAACAGTACAAAATCTCAATTAATTCACTTGTAAAAGCACTTTAAAAACACTTTTTTTCTTTTGGTTTTTTCTAATTATTAAAATAAAAATTTTTGTTTTTCAGAATTTTGCTTTTAAATATTTTACCCTTGCTGCTGCTGTTGTTGGTACTGTGACAGTTAAAATTTTCCTATTTAAGTAACCAAAGGAGAAAGAAAGACAAAGGTTGCAAAAGTTGATCATTGTTTACCGCATGGATTGACACATATCCAAAGGAAAAAAGATGGATAAAAAAACAAACTTAAATTGTTAGGGTCAGTTGATCGCTGTGTTTGAAAACAGCAAATTATTACTTTATCTGTACTTAGTTTTGTTTATTTAATAGTAAAATTGATAGATAAAGGAAAAAAACGAAGCAAAACAAAACAAAACATAGAAAAGGTCTTGTGTTCAAAAAAAAGAAGGTTTTTTCTATTCTTTTACTATAAATTTTTTTAATGTTTACTGTTATGCTCTGCTATCAGATATTCATTTGGTATTACTGTTTTCATTAATTCCAAATGATTTTTATGTTTTTTTAGCAGTGCTTCACAATTGATGTAAATAAGTTTTTTTTTTTTTTTTTGTTGACTTACTGTAACGGTCTACATTGGCAATAGACAACAACTAAATTAATATTCATGCTATTTTCAAAGATATTTCAGTCCTTCTTCAACAATATTTTGATTGTTTCTGTTTAATTTTGTAAAATGTAAAATAAAAAAAGATAAGTTCAGGAAAGAAAGAGTACATAAAGTTATTTATTTACTCTCTTTTTTTTTGTTCGTTTACGAATAGGCAATAATAAAAATTTGTATGAAGTTCCGAGTTAAGCTTAACTTAAAAAACACATCTTTTTTTTACTTCGAATTTTTGCATACAGAAAAAACGAAGCACAAAATTTTTGTATGATTATCATCGTCACCATCACTATTACTGTCGCCCTCATCGTCAACGTCTTCATCACCATCTTCGTTGTTGTCGTCACTATCACTATCACCGCTATAACCAAAACCCCAAAAATCATAACACTTCAATCTTTCGCTTTTTACTTTATCATC